GGTCGAGAACCCTCACTCCGCGCAAAGGGGATAATCGCACCACGTTGTGTTCAATTGGTCAAGCATCCTCGAGGCAGTTACACAGTGCTTATAACTGTCTCTGGAAGTGAAAACACCAGAAAAAAAATTAAGTCATACGCAGCTGTCATCCGCACGCAAGGAAGTAAGCACAAGATGCCGAACACCCTTAGCAGGACGCAGCTCACCCTTCATGCGACTCGCCGCATACCTCACGGTGCTTCGCGCTTGGTGATGTGAGAGCCTGGTCCGGTGAGAACCCGGCGTGCTCTGTCCCGGTTTTGTAGGGATGCGAGTTCAATGGTCTAACGACTACGGCATGCACGACTATGAGTACACCCCCCCCCGGCCCCCTAGCCTGGTCGGGCGAAAACCTGGCGTGCTCAGTCCCGGGATGCGAGGTCACTACGGTCTAACGACTACGGCATGCACCGCTACGGATACTATCCCCCTGTTCCGGCTTTAGAGGGGTGCGAGGTCAATGGCCCAACAACCAAGCCATGCAAAACACAACTACCCCCCCCCTTCCCCCCCCTTCTCCCCCGGTCTCGTCGCGCACCTTCTCCGGCTCCCCCTGCAACACCTTGCTGAGCTGCAGCACGAGGAACAGCCTCCCGTCCGCATTCTTCGGGTCCAGCGCGAACAGGGCCCTGCGGCACCCGGTGACGTTCCTCTCGACCGTCGTGCCCCGCCGCCGGCTGCCCTTCCCACGGCCTCCGCCGCTGCTCCCCGACGCACCCGTCGTCGCTCGAGTAGACGACCCGGTGACGGAGATGGACGGCGTGGCGATGTCGTCGGGGGCGCCCGTGGGGCTCTCCCGGGTGAAGACGTACGAGAACTTGCGCCGCACCGTGCTCGAGTTCAAGTCAAACCTGCAATGCGGAGGGAGGCGTAGGGTGTGTGTGTGTGTGTGCGTGTGTGTGACTTGAATCGCCTCGGTAAAAAAAAAAAGCGATAAATGGTTCGTTGGACCGACAAAACCAGAGCACCGGTTTCGGCTGCTGACGTTGGCGCGGGAAGGGGGTAAGCCCTCTGTGCATCGAACATGTGCTGTATTCCATCAGGCAGACCGCTAGAGCGAAAGCCTGACAACGCAAAAGTTTTCCTCCGCGTGTTCCCGATATCCCCCACCACCGTCGTCTCACACATCACATACCTAAAATGTTCCCTTTTTGGACCGTGCGTCCGACCGTTTGACACGTCCCGGAAACGCGAACAGCAACCAAGGCCCCCACACGCGTCCGTTCCCTCACCAGGCCTTTGCCCGCAACCCCCATTGCCCCCCACTACAGCCATCAAACGCAAACAGCGGCGCCGCCAAGACAGAAAATACTGCTGTCTGTCGACTTGCACGCATAGTCAACGGACTTCAGAATACGGCAGGAGAGTGCCCCACCGCCAATTGAGCCTAGGGAAGACATTTTTGAGCCACCTTTGGCAAAGTAGAAAGGAACGATTGGCCATCGGTGATCGGTCCAAAGTAGGAAGGAGCGATTGGTCATCGGTGATCGGTCCAATGCTCCGTCCTTTCGAGGACGCGTGGTCAATGGTCTAACCGCCAAGGCATGCAAAACATCAGAGTACGCCCGCCCCCCCCCCCCCCCCCCCCCCCCC